AAATTATACATAAATTGTTTATTTTCCATATTCGTCGTTTTGATTGAAAACAAATAAACCGAGCAAAAAAATTGTAACTTAAATTTATAATGATCAAACTCTAGTTGCAGTACATTAAGCCTCGAAAAAGAAATGCGTGTTTAACAGTTTTCAATAGCCTGCACGTTGTTCTCTCTAAATTGAACATTTACAAATGTATTGCAGGTCGCTTTTAATTTGAATTTTAAGTTAAAAAAACATTTGGTCCGTGAACATWAACATTTATAGTCGGTGATACCACTGTGGTCACCCTTGTGCTGGAAACGCAAACATTATCGGGGCAGACATAAATSTCGCGTTGTTGGGGAAATTTTAAAATTGTATAACAATCGTTTCGATGGACAAAATAATGGTAAATAAAATGCAAGTCGACTAGTCAACGGCGCTAGAAAATCCATAAAAATAAAATATTTTGAAACCAGAACAAAAAATATAATCGCTGTTCGTCGTCGAGTGAAAAAGTGTTCAAGTGGTGTAAGCAAATGTGTGAATTAACGATTCTCGACGTTTCAGTTTTTTTCCTTTCTTTTTTTCCACAGACACTCGTGCGCATTAACGATTTTGCCAATAATTAGGACGAATGACGGAATGAAAAAAAAAATAATAATAAATCTATTCTTTAATAAACTCTTATATTATTGTTCGGATGAACTTATCACCAAAGGAAAATTAATACCTAAGCGGTGCCTCGGGAGGAATTTCAATATTTCGTGGAAGACTTCTGAGAGGTGACAATCCAGAGAGGATGGTTGATGGTTCGAAATCCGAGCAGGAATCCTGCAATATAGAGCATAATAAGAACGATACCGATCACCGGCAAATCACGAGAATTTGACGATCCGACGATGTTAGCAGTGCACGATACATATTATAGTCTACGGTTAAATTATTATAATCRATCATAATTATTATGCTATTTATCAACGACCCTATAAACTGATGAACGGTTATTTGGTAAAAATTTGAACAATTAAAATACACGAAAAAAAAAACAGTAAATCGCACAACAATATGACAGGCGTTATGTTATCATGTGTAAGTGCCATGGTAACAAAAGTTGTACATAAAACATTTACCATAACACGTCATTGATGTTATTGAGGGTAACTTAAGAGTCAACACCAACCAACTCGGTTTTGGGACATTAAAAGAGATTAGTACGGTTGATGTCTGTACAATTGATAGTGTCTCKTATGAGACATTGTCACGAATCAAAAATGATGACCAAAAACATTGCCGAAAGGTGGTGGGTGTATCAAGCGACGAAATACAATACAGTAGTGACAAATATATTGTTTATGAATCAACGATAAATAACACTAGAATAACGTTTAACCGATAATGGCAGTATCGATTAGTAACAAACGCCTTACTTTATAATATATTTTACAAATAGAACACATAATCAATTATAGATTAACRGTTCAACAAWCATATTATTAATATTATTGTGAACGACTGGTAAGTWCAATTGTTCTATGATTTTTAACAATCACCATTCAAATATATGTTATGTTAAAAACAAAAATATGTTTAGTTAAAACCCGTTAAAACTTAATACAATATCATAAATTATGAYTGGGTACAATAACTTATAAAGTATCTTAATTACAGTTCATTCAAAACAAACACAAGTACATTAACACAGTGCATTAATATTATAATAATGTATCTTTACATGTATAGTTAACGACACATATTATTTTAAAATATTGATAGTGAAATGCTTTGAAAATATTTTTATAAGTGAGATTTGTTAATTGATTTTGCTATTTTTATACTAGTTTATATCAGTGTACATTGTTGTAAGATATCCAATAAAATGTATTATATGTCTATTCCATTAGAAGAGGGAATAACTTGACCACAGGGACGTACTTGGACCATATTTTAGGCCATGAAACTTTTTTAGGCAGTCCAGGAAGACTTTAAAAAACAAAAATTGTTTTATACAACAAGTCRAACCATGAACGTAAATATTTATCAGGCCAGGCCACCATGAAATCTCCCGTTGTCAAGCATGGGTAGTCCGTCCACCAATATTCATGGTTTCGCGCATACAATGTTACTATACATTCCCAGATTCAATACMTTCTTAAATAAGATTTAGGAACATAAATACGATTAGTTATGTTTACAATATCTCAATTTAATAATATTTTATCTATTATAAAAATAATAATAACAATTATAACAATATTAAAATATTACGAAACATTACAAAATTACTTGTTTATTTAACTAAAATCTATAATCAGTCTTGATCTTATGCATTAACATTATAAGAAAAATATTTCAACAACAACCCTGTGTTTACATATTCTAGAAATACCTCAAATCCAAAAGTCAGACTTTATTTCAGTTCATTTTGTCATTTCACAATCTTAATTGTCTATAAATTCAATTATTGGGTTACAATGTCATCACAATACTAATGGGTAACAATTTAATTAAGTTAGCTTATGTATTCTTATGGAGAGTACAACTTTTTCTCATTGTCACAGCCAGAGTGTAAAGTTGTATCCTGAAGTTTTCGTTTACGTTTCATCATCACTTTAACATGTTTCTTTGAACCCATATGGATGTTATATTGGATGTCATCTGTAACAAAATAAAACAAATTAACTATTGGGAAAACAAAAAAACCTAAACCAATAAGTTTCGAGCACACCAGCTGACCTCTACAAAACAGCACACCCCAACAGATTCGTTACATATTATTTAGCTATAACAATATAATTATTTATCTACACTAACATGAAGAATATTCTWTGAAAAATATATATCTGCATTATATGGGAAGAATACTGAGTTATTAACACTCAACTGAAAAATATTGGGACTAAGTATAGTTTAAAAGGAATAACAATWCTCAAAATTACAACAATTTTAAACTGTTTTTAATTTAAATAATTATAAATTGATTAATTATATWATTWAATTAAATTTTGATGTCTAAAATAGGTCACAACTATTAGACTATTGTTACATTCATGTAATTACATTTGAAAGAGATGATTATACAATTTTAAATGGCACAGAGTGTAACTGTTATATTACTATAAAACAAATTTTAAGAAAAAAAAWTTTTTATAATTATATCCATTTGCTTAYTCTCTTGTTCTGCCCACAAGATGCATACAACTTACTGTTYTCTTAAAATACAATTTTTATTCATAATATCACGCTATACAAATACAATATTACAGTACAAGTAGGTACACATGGTAGGTATCTACGGTAAGACGGTTTTACTATTTTCAACTAGAGTTTAACAAACTCGTTTAATCTATTCATACGTATTAAACTATATAATTTAGTTATTTACTACATGTATATGTATAAATATTAAGTATAATATTTATAGTCTTAGACATAATCTTGTCTATAAATATTATACTTAATATTTATACATATACATGTAGTGGTTCTACATCACCACACAGGCTGTGTCTCGCATTTCTTATCTATCTCGTAAGACTTATTCATGTAGAAATTTCTCTGTCCACCACTTCCTGTTTCAAATCTTATACTTACCAAGCTCTACTACATTCGACATTGGTGCTCGTCGGGAAAAAAACAAATTTACAAATATTTTAGTTAAAGTTATCTAGCTAACACTGTAATAATTGATGTCCACCAGTATTAGCATTACAGAGTCAAAAACTATCCAAAAACGTGCTCAAAAATTGATGGTTGGAAAAAATGATCGATGGGACCAACACTGGCAGATAAAACGCTATTCCAGAGGTATTCAAACTCATCTCGCTGCTTCWTTGGTCGTTTCACAATATTTTGATGACTCCCAAATAATTAKGAAAAAWTWGAAACAACACAATATGGATGATATTAACAGTGACTTAAGCACTAKAAATAAAACTTCAAATTGTCGCGTGGTGTTTTTTGTTTTTATTTYCATATTGGTTACAAATAACATTTATAATAATTAGGGCTCGGATGTTGTTGCATTTGCAATTTTTTTCTATTGTTCGGATTCTTTGCTARGTAAGTTATAMATTTATTTCAAACGAGTACCAATTAATATATAAAAAWTTTAAGTGCAATTTTTTGCAATTTTTTACCTTTTTTCAATTTTATTGCAATTTTGTTGATTGTCGTCATTTTCAATACAATTTTATATATTTTTTTATATATTTACTCTTTTTTGTTAGATTATACAGTGCTATAATTTTTAAGGTAAGGTAAGGTTTTTTTTAAAAAAACAAATCAAAAATAGTTTAAATAAAAAGTTTTAAATTTTGATAAAATTATTAGTATAGATTTCTGAAAAAATAAGAAGACCGCACAATTTAACCAGATTTTTAGTGACAACTGACGAGAATTTGAATTTGAATCTTTTTTATTATCTACTCGTTTAAAATCTATCTAATAAAACTTTATAATATTACTTAATAAAATGACTTAATCCATTTCATAAAATAATTTGTTAATATATATTTTTTTATTATTTTGGTACAATAAAATATTTTTTTATTGCAATTTTTAAGTGCAATTTTGGGGTTTTTTCACAGCAATAATGCAATCGATTTCATAACATTTTTAGTGCAACAACATCCGAGCCCTAAATTAATAATCATACAAGACCTAGGTATACCGTTGGTTTCCGGTACCTTGACGCGGCTTCCTTCACAAATTCTCAGTTTGAGTACCTCWGCGYTATTCGGTACAAGCGCGAGGAATAGTCATTCCGCGGTGTAATATCATATTTATAATAATAGCTAASGGTTACAACTATTGATGACACTGCAGCTAATATTTTCACATTTCCTCTGCTCCTCTCTCTCTCAYTTGTTCTCTGYCACAAACACACTCGGTTATCTCAGACACACGCACGCGCCACTGACGATTGATGTGGTGTCCGACACTCACTGGAAAACAGTCTGGAACAGTCGTCGCAATAATAGTCGCCGTACACGGGCAAAACGGTTTTCTGGTCACTAACGTCGATCGGCTCCAGCGTGTGTTGACCGCGAGGTTTCCGGCCCAGCACGACCTGCGCCAAGTCCACCGCTCGGTCGCTCAGCTGTTGCCACTCTCCGAGGTCGGTACAGTCCAGTCGGTACACCGAGACGGCCTAAAAGAGTGCGAGAAAAAAAAATCAAAATCAATGTTCAGATACTAATTTTAATTGCAGAAATATAATGCGTTTATAACCAAATTAGGGGAAAATGTCTTTGTGCTGTGTTATATTTACAGGTCTAAACTAATTTGGTCGTTAGATAATAATATTATATAAAACACGTAGATTGCGTGACTATATCTAACTGTAYACAAAAAACGCACTATGCTAGTTGGGTCAGGTATACTACGGACCTACTAGACCTACACATTACGCGTATAGAGGTATATATTAAGATGGGCGATGCCATCACGACTCGAAGGTATATCGATAGGCATATAAACCTAATTTTTTCAAGCCCACCCCCCTCCCYACGGCAGAAATTCTCGAGCTTGGTTTAAAATKTTACTCAAATAATAATAAACTGTTTGATTCTCACCAACGTGTCACTCTGTCAYCCAACCTCTCTGCAGTTTAAACAAACAACGAATAATGACAAAATATCACAATCTTATTCGTTTTAATATTAAGGCAGAAGATAATATGCACAAAAACCAACTTCGTAATGGTACATATTCAGGCACGGATTGGGCCGGGCTACTGGGTCCGTACTTTTTTTTTTAGAAAAACAGATTTTAATAAAAATAATTATAAATTTAAACCATGTGTAGCATGGACTTATAGTAATTTAGGATTGGCATACAAATATTTTTAAACACCGCCATCAACTCAGGYACATATACATTTTATAAATTATTTAAATACACTATAAATATTGATTCATACTATTTGCGTTTTGAGTAGGTAGCATGTGAGAGAAAATTTTAGACACTAAAATTTATTATAAACAGACTATCGGAATCCAAAATAGACGTTTATGTTAATGTCCGTCGAAAAAGAAAGAACTCTATAATATAGTCACAGATAACAGAATCAATAAAGTAACTACTATTATAGCTAGTACCTACCTCTAAAACATTAACTAAAGAATTAATGTATTAATTGATTATAAATACATTTGTGTAATTAAATTTGAGAATATTTTTTTCATAAAGGGCCGGCTTAGGTACAGGTTTCCCGGGTCGAATTTTTATCTCGATCCGTTCCTGAACATATTAYTATGCTCCAATAATACCTAAAAAATTCCCAAATATAATCCATAAAGGAGTTTGATCTTGAAAAAAATAAAATAATTCTCATGTGGCAATGAGAGATTATTTTAAACCAATAGATTTAGTGTCAAATGATACTTCACATAATACATAGGTAATAAATTATGTTTACAGTTAATTCGTGATAATTCGAACCTATAACTATAACTATAACTATAACTATAACCTATAACTCGAAAAACTTTAACACTCGAATTTTTTTTTTTTACTTTCTTAAAATGTTCGTAATACTCAGCGTATATTATTAAAATCTCGTAAACTCAAAGACAAAATTATCATCTATAGCTAGCTAAGTCGGTGTAGGTGTAAAAAAAGTGTATGTACCTACCAGGGTATAAATAACAATATATCAAAACGGTTTTGAATATTATGAAAGCGACGAGTCCCAAAGAAAAATAACCAAATGCCATAATTACGAATTGTTGGTCAATTTTCGTTTAYCCGTCAAATGCGTGAAAAAAATTTTATGCTCGAAATAGCGAAAATTACGACGATTCATTAATAAATAGCCAAAACGTCAAAATCTTAAATTTTTATAATGATACCATTGAGTTTTTTTTTTAATTTTAATCATCGTAACGTGTTCTATTGTAATGGTTTTATGATGTAGTTTTATTATACATAGGTAATATTACATTATGCATAATAATACACTTTTTTAAACTATTCATACATACCTACATTTAATAATAATACGGTGTTTAAAATTCTATTTCATTGTACAATTCAAAATGTTGGCTTAAATTCGATAGTTGCAGGCTTTCTCACCAAAACGACATCTTATTCCTTTACAAGTTGGTAATGAAGTTTTCAAAAATCGACTTACATTTTTTCACGTTTTGTTATTTTTCCGAATAAAATATATATTATTATTTACTAAAAAAATTGTGACTTTATAATATGATGTGGGCGAGTAATATAATATTGAAAAAAAGTTTTGCACGCGACTCCATCACAGGACACATATAACTAATAACTATGTATATTGTTGTCACTCGTAGATGACAACAATTTACAATTATAATATRAACGAGTGTGTCAATGTCATATAAGTTTCGTCGTCCAGTCACCTGTTTGTCGTTGGGCTTGAGGAAGCGGTTGTTGATCCACCGGATCTGCCGTCTGGCATACTTTTTGGTCATGTACTTCATGGCGACGAGCGCGTCCTCCAGACACTTGCGACCAGCCTCGGTGTCGCGACTCTCGACCGGCAACTCAAAGTAATTCTGAAACTGTTTTAGACCGATGCACTGCAACACGCCCTTTGTAAAGTCCAAATCGAAGCTGAAACRCATCACACACGAAAACCGATTAATACAAATCGCGGGCTCTCATATACAAAATAATATATATTATATACCATACATGTTATATACGACGATGGTATGACGTAAAAAAACTTGCCGGATTGTGTTAACACTCATTACGCGTTGATAATGCGTCGAGAACATAATATTTTACAATACTTAAAATGAAAAAATTCGCTCKAACCGGTTGTGCGCCACGAGCGGAATACGAATGTATGAAACAGTATATACATACATAGGTAGGTACACAGAGCATTATATTATATACATATAGGAGTAATACGCGCACTATGTGTGCAGTGCAAAGTTCTCTCTGTATATATATATATATATATATATATATACACAAATATAATAACATGTGAGTCGGACTATATACAGCGTGCGGCGTATTATGTGTACATATATTCCCCATAAATCGCATTTATCTAATGTTTATAAACGAACGTTTTGYGTATAATACGCATGCCCTCAAACGGTTATTATTCGCATACTTGGATAAATACGTATGTATATACTGAAGCTAAAGGGTTTTATATATATATATACCTATACGTACGTATTATTATCGTAGGTTTTTTTTTTCGTCTGCGATTATACATTTTCGGACTTGGGCAGCAATGCTAGCCGACCTACAGATTACCTCACAGATGTATTAACAAACCCATCATACATCGTTAAATTGTACACACAGRAATGCTCAGCCATACGACACACAACAGTAGTCGCGTTGCAGTGCGTATATAATACAATATACGCAATAACGACCATAAGCCGAACGCATAATAATTATAGTCTATACATACTCAAACTAATAGTAATATGATTGTGTGTGTGTGTGTTTATGTGCGCGCGCCCGGAAGTAATAAATCGTTTGTCGAATGCGTTTACAGTTTGTTTTGAATATTATATGATCCAAACGGTTCGTTTCGTTATATATACGAGTAAATATGGTTGTACAAAGTATAATAACAACAAGACGATATGTACACAAAATACTAGCCGTAAAATGTACTTAAGTAATTCATATCTAACAAATTAGTTGCCATCGAGAAAATCAGAAGTTTGGATATTCACTCCAACCTCATAAAATCGTAATATATACACCACAGTATTTATAAACGACAGGACGTGTGCAAACAAACATATATATGATATAAGCATTAAGCACACAACCCTGAAAACAAACTTTAGGAGATGTATTCCGTGATACTTAGAAAATTAAATATTAAGGAAGGTAGTACCTAATATTGTAAGACGTAATTTGATACATTCATTGGGAGATATAGACYGTGTYCGTTTATAAAGTAACCGTTAAGAYGTGTCATACAAAACTATTCAAATYCGTTGTTAGCCACAGATATATAACCGATGTTTAGAATATCAGCTAAATGAATATTTTTAACCGATGAAATATATATTTTAATATTATATATATATAATCCGCCACCCCTGTTATACAAGAGACATAATGTTTAAATTGGATGGATTTAATTGATTTAAGAGTTTCGTAAATTATTGTTCTCGATAAGGTGTATATATTATATTATAAAATAAACCACTGCTGCAGATTCGGAATATTCGTCTCAACTGTTTACGATAAAGTTATATTGGATCATATAGTTATCTATTGGTATAATAACATAAGCGAACGACGAGACGATGACTTACTTGTCTGTACCAATCATTTTGGAAAGTTCCGTTTTGAACTGACAAAGCTCGTCGACCAATCCCCGTTCGACCATCTCATCCGTGCGTTCTTCGAGCCGTCTGTTCAAAACGTCCTGGAAACATAAAATAAATAAATAAATAAATAAATAAATAAATACAAATACAATAAATGTGAACGGCGAATAAAATGAGACACACTTAAAACACGTTTGCGAACAAAAGATCATAGAAAAAAAAAACACCACATTTCGATCATATACAATATTATATACCTAGGCATATAGGTACACACGATATTTGTCCGCCTTTTCGCACGATTATTATTATGATCATCGCCGACCAGCGGAGAGTCATTGAACCAGTTATTATATTTTCTTTACACACACCACCACCGCCATAAATGATTAACTGCCCGACAACTATTATAAGCCCAGCGTGTTTGAATTATTCATTTAGAGCACATACTTTCACGGTTAATCCGCTAGCCGTCTGTTTATTATAAATATGTATCGTCGCGTTTACGTTCATATATATATATATATACCTACTCCAGAAAAGCGGACGGTGTGCTTTCACCACTATTACACTCTATATATTAAGATATTATATACGCGGACGTAAAATAGAGTCTATATAGGTAATCCTTAACATTGTACAGTATGGATGATGCTGTATCATAACTACTATAGGTGGGTRTATAGTATTTTCGGGTCATCGAATTTGTCTTGTCGGATATTATCGAAGTTAATAGAAAAAAAATATATATATATATTTTCCATCGTAATTCCTATACTTTATCACATTTGATAATCTATCAACGTCAAGCTGCTGTTCAAAAAGTGCACAAAAAAATTCTATTATTACCTTAGAATATACATACACATAGAAAAACGTCCGCTTGTCGTGCAGTTGCACATAAACGAAACAGTAGTAGATAAACGGTCAATTTTTTTTAGCTATCCCATCAGTTCATCTCCAGCCCAGTCTCATCTATATATAATAATATTATACATATTTTATTAACCGGCTTTAAACACCAAACTTAAATTTTTCCTGCTCTTGAATTTTTTTTTCCATTCCACGCGAAACCTTCGTAAGCCATCGCGCCTTTTAAAACGTCTCTGCAGATGTTTAACCGAATATCTACGTATTAGCGTTAATGTCTTCTGAGCTGTATATTACGTAGGTACTGATACCACCAAGCGTGATTTACATGTTATCGAAATTTTTTGATTTTTCATCAAAGTTTGATTTTTACAGGAAACACTGTGTACCGTATATAATTCCTAACCTATATAGCTGGTACAAATAAGTGACGCGCAAACTTTTTTTTTCATCAATACGATCGTCGTTGTCGAACTATCAAGCAAATATTTAACCAATTTTAATTACGATTGCGTAGACCTTTGACCATTCTTTCTATGTATATAATATAAATATATTTGTTCATCGATAACCGTACAACCACCCGAAACAGACATCAAAGTGACGCAGCTCTTTTCGAAGCACACACACACACCTAAATAATATATACTATTATACGCATTAAGTTACGCACATTTAAACTTTCAAATTATCTATAGTCATGTTTGTTCAAGCCCTCGGATGCGAGTGCAACAGACAGACCACCCTGAGCCCGTGGCATTATCATACTACGGCGACGACAACGCAAGGGTGACCGTGCACGAATACACTATATATTAAAAATCAGGATTATAGTATACGACGTATATCAAACATTCTCCGACAAGACAAATAGTAAAAACTAGGATGGGGTGTAACGCCAAAAACGGTAATCCCCTCAAAAATTGCTTTTCGATAATACATATCAAGTAGATAATATATTGACCCTCTTTTGAGCCCAACCTTGCTCCTTTATAATATAATATATTATGTAATGCGATTGTGGTCCAAGCTGGTCATTGCACAAACCAACAGAGTATATTTTCGAAGCAGATTATCGCAAGCAGCAGCTGTCACGGTTTGCATCTCCTCGCACTTGCAGTAGGACGACGACGACGCGTTGGTAAATAATATATATTATCATTACTTTATTAAAAGCTATATATATATAATACATATATATTAGGAAAATCCTAGCAACGATATTTGCCGCGAGCAAGACTCGGCAAGGGAAACATTCAAACATATATATATATACACATACGATGATGCCGGTGCGAGGAAGAGGAGGACGCTTTACGGAATACTTTCAACAGAAAAATAGTCCATGTATATACAACGGAATTATAACACAATATAAAACTACGATACCGCCATCGTGGAAAACGAATGATGATATCTCCTTGAATCGTCTGGTTGGAAAAACAAGATTGTGCGTACTTCGTACGTTGATG